TGAGAGTAAAAAAAACATGCACAGACAAATCCAAATTAAACCCTGCGGCTCGTGACGACACATTGATGTCCTAAGACACGAAACGATCGGTTTGTGCCAGAAACCGAACAGTATTCATATCATTTTTTACCTCTAATACACCACTATGTTCAACTGTCTTTGTTCGCGCGCACGGCTTCCGGTGCGTGAGGTGTGTACGCGCTCTGGCGTACTTTGTGAACAGTGTGCGTTGTTGAATTTATGATCTGGAGTTATTTCATTTGCAACTACCTGCCCGCTCCTCAGGCCTGTCCCAAGAGGCATCAGGATAATTGGTTATTGTCTCGCCACACCCAGATGCCCTCTAGTCTAGTAATAAACCTTTGTCAGAGTAGCACCACAGCTGTGCGTTTAATGGATCGTACTGTTTTTCATCTGATGAAACATCAGTAGACAAAAATTCATACAACAGTTTTGAAATTTGAGAATTGTAATTAATTGATTACATGATGTGTGTGATTGCATGCATCTGAAATCACGTACTTTCTGAGGTACTTCTTTTGAATAAGTAATAATTGGTTACTAATTGGTGACCATAAAAACGACGTTCTGTACTACACTGTAAAAAATTACCATGAATTTAATGGTAAAATACTGTAAAAATGCTACAGTAAAAACCTGTTAAATGGTTAACGGTAAATTCCCCAACTATATACGGTGAAAAACTGTATTGGACATTAATTTTACGGTAGTATACCGTTTTTGGAAGTGAAATACATTCCGTAAATTGACATTCCCAGAATTCCCTGCGTTACATTTCAAATTTGATGTTTTTTTGTTGAAATAACTATGTTTCTTCTTAATTTTTTCTTATCAGTTTTGTATATTAGGGTTGTGTGTTACACCTAATGTTGTTAAATGAATGTTTATTGCATTATTTCAGTTTACCATGATGGTGTTTGGTGTCTGTGTGAATGACACTGTGCACCTTCTATATATGTTATTATTTAAAAGCTGCTTGTGATGGGCTTTGGTTCATCATGTGACTTTCTCATCACCTCCTGCATTTAGTGGTTATCAGTGTATTTATTACAAAGGTACAAAACAGATTTCAGTACTTCAATAGGTTGGTATATTAACATTATATCAGTTAATGAAATTACGGTATTTAACTGTAAATCTAAGTTAAAACGGTAAAACCTAAAACGTTGCTACCGTATTTTTTACGGTAAAATTCCAGCAACCACAGCCGCCGTTTTTTTACCGTAAATTTTACAGATTTTTTTTTACAGTGTATGAATGTATTCTGGATGTACTACATTCATCATGTTGTCATTGTTGTATGACCTACGGCATTGACAAATCTTCTTCTCCCATGGCCTCCTTATGGGATATATAATATATATATAAAATATAAATGTATATAAAATATATATATATAAAATGTATATCCTCATGGGATATAAAATAGGTCATCCAGGTGCAAAGTGTGCTCTCTATTTGCACTAATACCCTTTCAACTGTCTTCATAATTTTATCCATTAGCTGATTATGGTGGCTTACAGACTGAAAATAATTTGTCCAGTTATTAAACTAACATACATTTGTAAACTCAGTGGATGAACATGTAAATAATCACTGTTTATACATTAATATTCACCTTTTCACGTGTCTATTTTACACTTCTTACCAGACATCCTGTGGTGACTGAAGTTCAACGAAGAACTGATTCATTTCAGTGAGGTCACAAGCAGCCCCGCGGCTTGTAATCAGTTTAGTTTCTGCAACAAATATTTTTTCGTTGTTTCTAGACTATTTTAAGTACAAAAAAGTGAGTTGGACATCATAAAATTTAGCGTGTCTTCGTTAGGTAGGATGTGTAATGCTATAGTGCTAAGGCTGCCGCTGTTCTGTCGAGCTCAACAGCGCCCCGCATTTGTTCAGTGTAAATCTGTGGTGGAAAATGGAATTGCAGCCCGCCAAAATTGAGAGTCGTGTAGCAGAGTAGCGTAGCAAATTAGATTAAATATAAATTATTTTAAACTTGCTTATTACAAATTCGGGCTTTAGTGATCCACAACAACAATTAAACATCATTTAATTAAACCATTTTTTATTTGTATACATTTATTAAACTTTTTGCAAAGCATGTTAAGCTATTTTTTTTAAGTAAAGTTTATTATAATTATTATATAGACTTGAGGGGGAGTGTGCAAGTTTTAAAATACTTCGACAAGGCAAATATCAATTAAAAGTACAACCTAAGCCATCAATGTCACAAAAGCAAGGAATCAAATGGCAAAACAGTGCTTTAAAGAGTTGCGCTGATGTTTTACATACGTTTGTACAATATTACATAAAACACAACAAAAAATACACTGATAAGTAAATGCAGTTACATCCTTGAGACCAAATAGTGCTCGGATACAATACTGCTGCAAAGGGATATTTTGCCAGGTGGTCCCATTCCTTTGGAGAAAAAGCTGTTTTTAGATATACTAGACTTGCAGACTCCATCTTTAGAAAAGAGATCAAGCATACCCGTAAAAAAAAGCATACTACTGCCATATTTGTGGAATACACTACTAATATCTAATAGGTAATAATTTAATTGGCCCATAAGATAGAAATGTAGAAGATTCTGAGTTTTAGAGATGGAAAAGCTCTTGCTGATGATTGTCTGATAAATGGTTTGATAGTCTGTTACACAAAGTACAAAAAATATTTTAATTTACAACAGTTTTCCAACACAAAATTGACTACTTAATTTCATTAACTGTAAATATATAAGTATTGAATCTTAATACCAGCTGCAAATCTCAAAACTGAACTTGTTTCTCTATCAACATATAAAGCAAACAACAAACTAAAATGCCATCATTGAAGGATTTACGGTTCACAGTTGTGAATTTCATAATATCCGAGTCATTGTCGACAACACCATGTTAGGGCACGATGGAAAACCTAGCAAAAACAATTTTCTGCACTAAAACAAACTGAACAATGAAAGTGAATTCGAGTTGTGTATAATATTTAAATCAAGCAGAAAAAACACAGTAAGCATAATGAATAATTTTCATACTATACGAGTTAAAAAATAATGCCAGGTCACCCACTGATAATCTCTTCCATGTGTTGACCCTGAAATCAGCAGCAGGCTATATACAGTGTTAGTGTGTAATCTGTATCAGTTGTGTAATAAGCTGCAGTTTCTTTACTTCACTGATTAAAAACAAATGTTTTCTGCATCACACTCACAACAATACAAAAGGATAAATGGGTTTTGATTGTGACAAGTTCCGCCCCTTCATTTCGAGACATTTAGCTACTCAAACGTCTCTACTGTCTTAACAGGCGAGCTGTGAAACGTTCACGAGCCACGGCGAACGAACCAGATCTCATTTCTGCGTTGGGGCACGCCGGGATTCTCGTAAACGGCTACCATGTAGCGGTCTCGGTGAACATCCTCGGAGTTGCCCAGAAGCTCCCAAAGGATGCTGATCTGACGAGAGATGGTCTCCTCCGTTGTGGTGCCATAAAACACCCTAGAATGGAAGAAAAGTTCAACTATAATCATTTTGGAGCAGGCATTGCTAATGCAAAAGACTGGGCTCCAAGGGTCTGGTTTGGTCGTGTACCTGGCTATGACGTGGATCGCGTCTCTGTGAACGATTCTGATATCAGGGTCGGTTGGTTCAGGTGGTCTGGCCTGGAACTCAGCGGGCAGATAATACGCCGTCAACACGTCCTTCATGAAGTTAGTGCCGTCGTCTGCCATCGTAATCTCATTCACAACAGGTACTGACATGCCAAGGTACCGTCCTGGAGACACAGAGCTTAAACTGAGTAAACTGGGAACCTGGCACGTTTCGTATGAAACAATCATTATGATTATCATGATGAATATTGTAATAGAAACTATGCATGCTATAAGAGGGGTCACACGCGAGTTAATAAAACACAACTCATACCCATAATGAACTTAAAATAAGCCCTTTTTTGCATTCACACTGAATCTGGATTTAAAGTAGATTCAAATCTGTTTTTGGTCCACTTTAGTGATAGTTTTTCATCCCACTTATTTATTTAAATTCACAATCTTTGGAGTTCATTCCACCTGATTTTGATTCAACTATCTGTACAGATTAAGGTATGGTGATGCTAGCAAAATGTCTGTGAATCTGGAATCAAAGTGGATTCAAATCTGTTTTTGGTCCACTTTAGTCATAGTTTTTTTAGCCCGTTCATTTAAATATACATGTTTTGGTGTTTGATTCAACTAACTGTAAGGTGTGGTGATATTAGCAAAATTACTGTGTGAATCTGGACTCAAAGTGGATTCAAATCTGCTTTTTGGTCCACTTTAGTGATAGTTTTTTTAGCTTACTTATTTATTTAAATTCACATTTTTTGGAGTTTATTCCACCTGATTTTGATTCAAGGTGTGGTGGTATTAGCAAAATTTCTGTGTGAATCTGGACTCAAAGTGGATTCAAATCTGTTTTTGGTCCACTTTAGTGATAGTTTTTCATCCCACTTATTTATTTAAATTCACAATCTTTGGAGTTCATTCCACCTGATTTTGATTCAACTATCTGTACAGATTAAGGTATGTTGATGCTAGCAAAATGTCTGTGACTCTGGAATCAAAGTGGATTCAAATCTGTTTTTGGTCCACTTTATTGATAGTTTTTCATCCCACTTATTTATTTAAATTCACATTATTTGGAGTTCATTTTGTGACTGGAATCAAAGTGGATTCAAATCTGTTTTTGGTCCACTTAATCATAGTTTTTTTTAGCCCGTTCATTTAAATATACATTTTTTGGTGTTCAGTTCACCTGATTTTGATTCAACTAACTGTAAGGTGTGGTGATATTAGCAAAATTTCTGTGTGAATCTGGACTCAAAGTGGATTCAAATCTGTTTTTGGTCCACTTTAGTGATAGTTTTTCATCCCACTTATTTATTTAAATTCACATTATTTGGAGTTTATTCCACCTGATTTTGATTCAAGGTGTGGTGGTATTAGCAAAATTTCTGTGTGAATCTGGACTCAAAGTAGATTCAAATCTGTTTTTTGGTCCACTTTAGTCATAGTTTTTCATCCCACTTATTTATTTAAATTCACAATCTTTGGAGTTCATTCCACCTGATTTTGATTCAAGGTGTGGTGATATTAGCAAAATTTTTGTGTGAATCTGGACTCAAAGTAGATTCAAATCTGTTTTTTGGTCCACTTTAGTCATAGTTTTTCATCCCACTTATTTATTTAAATTCACATTATTTGGAGTTTATTCCACCTGATTTTGATTCAACTATCTGTACAGATTAAGGTATGGTGATGCTAGCAAAATGTCTGTGAATCTGGAATCAAAGTGGATTCAAATCTGTTTTTTGGTCCACTTTAGTCATAGTTTTTCATCCCACTTATTTATTTAAATTCACAATCTTTGGAGTTCATTCCACCTGATTTTGATTCAAGGTGTGGTGATATTAGCAAAATTTTTGTGTGAATCTGGACTCAAAGTGGATTCAAATCACTTTGCACTTGTTCAGTCCACCTGATTTTGAACTAATTCTACAGCCTTATGGCGTGATTTTGGTGAAATAGCACAGGCTAAAAAGGTCCATTATTATACAGTCAACAGTGTAGCAATGAAGCACAGCTCAAACGGACGTCACTTCCAAACCAAACAGCTTTCTGTTGGTCAGCGTGATCAACTTGGACCCACTGCAAAATCCGCATGCAGAAATCTTTTGCCCTCCTGATTGCGTGGATTCCTATAGCAATGAATGGATTTCGCCTGCGACAATTGGTCAAACAACTGTAAATGTGACGGCACCTTTAATGTGCCATTTATTAGCATGAGAAAAACCCATCTATTAACCACACCTGAGACTAATTTTGTCATATACCAGGAACAAGTTGCATAAACATATCCTTTATGATAAAACTGTGTCTTAAGAACTAGTTTGACTAACTAGCAGTTAGCCAAGAGGTAATCATTCTTACTTTTCAGATTTGACCAGTCTACATTTGATGTAAATCACAGCTGTATGCAAGTTTTTACCTTGAAATATCAGTTTCAAAGTCATCATGATGATACACTGACTTCTAGTAAGGCAAACGGCTTCGGTTTATTTCCCAAACGTCTGTTCTATGACTGTGTAAGTTTGTTGGGCGAGTATGAAATTCCACAGAAAAAGCTAATTGTTTTATGGCAGCATGTGTAGGCTACAGCTATCACTGTAATTATGACAGTGAACTGTAAGATTCACAAAACTACATACAGTTGCTTTAAAGTTATGACCAATTTTAAACAAAAAAATCCCCCAGAAAACTAAATTGTAACAAACAATAAAAGGCAAGGGTCTCAAAGCACCGACTTGAAATAGTTTGGTGGTTAAAAGTTTACCTGTTGAATTCTCCTTGCAGATGAAGCGCATGAGTTTCATAAAAGCATTGGAGATGCTTTGCTCATACAGCATGTCTGCTTTACTGACACATGCCCACTTTCCTGCAGGATACACTCTCTCCTCGTACAAGACCTCGCCAAGCTGCACAAACACAGATGCTCATCAACACAATTACATTTAAACAAGTCTTTTTAGTAAAAATCATTAAATAACAACTAAATGTGTCAATGCTTCTTGAGTACTGGTCAACGTGCTAAAAGTACAAAAATAATGTGCACTGTTAGGTCAAATTCTGATTATTCAATAAAATCCAGCTTTTGTTTTAAAAAAGAATTAATTAAGAAACCAGGATGGTTTGAAAATGATTTCAGCTCAACCAATTACATCTGTCAGGGTTGACAACTGATGGTGCCTGTTGAATTCTCCTTGCAGATGAAGCGCATGAGTTTCATAAAAGCATTGGAGATGCTTTGCTCATACAGCATGTCTGCTTTACTGACACATGCCCACTTTCCTGGAGGATACACTCTCTCCTCGTACAAGACCTCGCCAAGCTGCACAAACACACACAGATGCTCATCAACACAATTACATTTAAACAAGTCTTTTTAGTAAAAATCATTAAATAACAACTAAATGTGTCAATGCTTCTTGAGTACTGGTCAACGTGCTAGAAGTACAAAAATAATGTGCACTGTTAGGTCAAATTCTGATTATTCAATAAAATCCAGCTTTTGTTTTAAAAAAGAATTAATTAAGAAACCAGGATGGTTTGAAAATGATTTCAGCTCAACCAATTACATCTGTCAGGGTTGACAACTGATGGTGTTGATAAAATAACCATATTTTGCATATCACACACGTAAAACAACTCTTCCTTTTTTCAGAACAGAGTAATCTTTCTTTTTAATGATATTTATATTTCTGTTTTCAACAAGTTGTGGCCTGATGGTTTAAGAGGTACAGTAGTAGCTGGTAATGTCATAATTATGATAAAAAAATGTTTTTAAATTAAATCGGAGTGTCTATTTACACTAAGTGCAAATAGCCCGCCTTGTTGGCAGAGGCTACTTACACTAACTCTGCCCACCAACGTGTGATTGGGCTACTCACCACAAAAGATGCTAGCTTCGAAACCGCTCCAGTAGCGTAGCGGTTAAAGCGTGTGCAGCAGTCTTTTAGACGCGATCGACCCAAGTTCGAATCTGCCTTTTGCCCAACTTTTTTTTCTCCCTTTTCAAATCTCATATCACATCGGAAAAGCATTTAATTTCCATACAAATGAAGGAAATAATCGAAAAGTTGTATTAAGTATCGGGTAGGATGTAGGGAGGGCTTTAGTGTCCCAATACATTTAATAATTTTAATTAAATAATCCATCCATTTAATCATTTTAATTAAAATGATAATTTACACTCAATGGGCCTCATTTATCAATCTAACGTAGAAACGAGCGCAGATCCGTGCGCACAAATCAACTTACGACAGAGTTCACATGTGATTCATGAAACATTCGTATGTTGCCAATCTCACCGTACGAATGATCGTATGTTGATAAATGTGGCAGCAGAAAACAATCGTCATTTGAATATCACGCCCCTAAAAACACCCTGGTTTAGAAGCCTCGCCCCTAGAGTTTACGACACGGAGAAACGAAACCCGGCCAAAAAGAGGAAGTAATCTCGTGAATGAGAAATTGATCTTACTCCACAAACACCTGTTAACCTTGTAATTGCAAACAATTAGGCTACATTAATTAATGTAATTTATATGTATATTGAAATACTGGTAGCCTAAATATAAACATTATAGCCTATTTCCCTCACTCTACAACAAATATTTTAAATTTAACGGTATTCAGAATAGAACAAGAATGAAAAATAAGTAGTTATAAAATTATATATTAAACTAAAATAAAACACAAATTAGGCTATAGTGGCATTCATTATAAACAGCATACAAATGTCAAGCAAATCTGAAACGGCATTGGGCTCACGAGCCTGCCTCATACCACAAGAATCCAAATGTATCCATTTTTGCCATATTTGTAACATTTGTTTGCATAACTATTATTCATTATGTAGCCTAAACATGGCTTTATACTTCAGTCATGCTCTAATATCCGTGTAAAATCCCTCACACGTGCAACAATGTTTGTTTGGGTGCTGCACGCTGATTTTACAGCGGACCTTTTAAAATAAACAGTGTAACTTTTATATTTGGTTGACTGAATTTTCTGTCGTATGTTTGTTTCGTAAATGAGGCTCAATATGTTATTATTCCATACTGTTTTATAATGTACTACAATACTGAGGTGCAGATAATTACCAATATTTGCAATAAGTAGTATAAATATAGAAAATCCTGCTAAACGGCATCTATCGTTACTTTCACTAAGAAAATACTGCTATTTTCACTTAATGTAGCCTGCATAGCATCTATACTTGCTATTTACACTTAGTGCAAATGAAAACTGTACAGTTGTTCTAGTGATCATCTCGGATTCATTTCAGAAAGTGGAAGTGTTGCCATTTTCCTAATTGTAGACATGTTTTGCCCCATGTTTCAAGATCCAGTGATTCCAAACTAACATATAGCAGGCAGCACAAGTGGGCTGGTTTTACCTTCTCGTGTCTGGAGATGGTGACAGAAGGCACTGGCTCTCGTTCTGATGTCTGGTTCCTCCTCGTCATCTCCTCAATGGGTCCCCTCATCTCTACACAAAAACCAGAGTCACTTCACTTCACTGCTGGTCTGAAAGCAGCTTTACATTGATCTAGATCAGCCAGTGTCATTTCTGCTCCCACTCAGTTTCCATGGAGATGTCTTGCTCTCTCACCTCCGGGAACAGACACATGGTGTGTCCTTCCCACCGCCTGCCAGTGGGCGTACATTCTGTCCTGCTGCTCCTCATCCATTGGCTCAGAGCTGTCGGTGATGTCATCGTCCACCTGCTCATCGTCCAATCCGGCGAGGTCCTCGATGGAGATCAGAGCCATTCTGACAAATGTCACGGCGAGGGACTGTGGAGCTGCAAGTCAATCGGGAAGCTCTGAAGACTGACGGTTGTTTATCAGAGCAATGGTGTTTATTGTCTATACTAACAGGGTATCGGCAGTCTTGATTTGTCCAATCCAGGCCTAGTTTTATGGATGAAAGAGTCTGTCTGAATTACAAAATGCATTTTGTGAAAGTAACATGATTTTGTGCATTTAAATAAATATATAGAACCAAAATATTTCTTTAAAATTAAAACAAAAACAAAATAGTGATCCAGACAGATCCATCCATGAAAGTAGGCGGCTCTTAAAATAGATATTAAAAAAAAGTGTATATCTTGCAATTCTGAGAGGAAAAAAAAAATCTGAATTGCAAGGTCTTGACTCAAAATTCACAATTGTGATAAATAAAATTGATAATGAAAAAAAAGATTATTTTTTTAATTCTGTGGTGAAAACAGGCTTCCATGGAAAATGTAAAGTTAAATCTAACATTTTATTACATAATATAATACTCAGCACAGTGTACTTTTATTTATTTATTTGTAATTTTTTATTGAATCCAAACTTGGTAACAGCATAACCAAAATGCAAATATACATGAAAATGTGTCATTTGCATAGGCATAAATTATAGGCTACTTAAATAATACACGTTTCTGTTTTGAGGACTTTTTATCATCTGAAAACTACGGTGGCCGAGAAGTGCAAAACAAATCACAATTCTGAAAACAAAATAACAAATTACAAACGCAAATGCAAGTCTAAAAAACAAAATAACAATTCAGAAAACAATGACAAATCCGATGACAAATTAACAAGTCAGAAAACACAACGACAAATCAGACAAACCGGAAGAGGTAGGTATAGTTTGAGACAGCGCCATTGGTTTGGGATTACTCACCGCTGACTGGACGAGACATCTGTCAATCAACGTATACAGGAAGAACCAGCCGAAGAACAGCAGAGTCGTGGTAGAAAGTTCGGAGATGGTATTAAAGTAGCTCAGTTTAAATGTATTGTATGAATTGCCCTTACTATGGAATAAAAAATACGGAGTGTATATTTACATTTAGTTAAAAGTGGCTGTAAATCATCAGCTCCAGTGGCGCAGATGGATAAGTGTGTGTCGTTGGCTTTTTGACGCGATCGACCCCGGTCCGATCCCGTCTTTTGCCGAACTTTTATTTCCTCCCTTTTCAAATCTCGTATTAGCAATGGATTCTATTTAAAC